GTCAGTCTGACATCAATACCAGGGAAGATTCTGGAGCAGATCATTAAGCAAACAGTCTGTGAGCACCTAGAAAGGAATGCTGTGATCACCAAATGTCAGCATGGATTTCTGAAAAATAAGTCATGTCAGACTAACCTGATCTCGTTTTTTGACAGAATTACAAGCCTGGTAGATGAAGGGAACGCAGTGGATGTAGCCTACCTTGATTTCAGCAAGGCATTTGACAAGGTGCCCCATGATATTCTTGTAAAGAAGCTGGTAAAATGCGGTCTTGACTATGCTACCACTCAGTGGATTTGTAACTGGCTGACTGACCGAACCCAAAGGGTGCTCATCAATGGTTCCTCTTCATCCTGGAGAAGAGTGACTAGTGGGGTGCCACAGGGTTCTGTCTTGGGCCCGGTCTTATTCAACATCTTTATCAACGACTTGGATGATGGACTCCAGGGCATCCTGATCAAATTTGCAGATGACACCAAACTGGGAGGGGTGGCTAACACCCCAGAGGACAGGATCACACTTCAAAACGACCTTGACAGATTAGAGAACTGGGCCAAAACAAACAAGATGAATTTTAACAGGGAGAAATGTAAAGTATTGCACTTGGGCAAAAAAGTAAGAGGCACAAATACAAGATGGGTGACACCTGGCTTGAGAGCAGTACATGTGAAAAGGATCTAGGAGTCTTGGTTGACCACAAACTTGACATGAGCCAACAGTGTGACACGGCAGCTAAAAAGCCAATGCAATTCTGGGCTGCATCAATAGGAGTATAGCATCTAGATCAAGGGAAGTAATAGTGCCACTGTATTCTGCTCTGGTCAGACCTCACCTGGAGTACTGTGTCCAGTTCTGGGCACCACAGTTCAAGAAGGACACTGACAAACTGGAACGTGTCCAGAGGAGGGCAACCAAAATGGTCAAAGGCCTGGAAATGATGCCTTATGAGGAACGGCTAAGGGAGCTGGGCATGTTTAGCCTGGAGAAGAGGAGGTTAAGGGGTGATATGATAGCCATGTTCAAATATATAAAAGGATGTCACATAGAGGAGGGAGAAAGGTTGTTTTCTGCTGCTCCAGAGAAGCGGACACGGAGCAATGGATCCAAACTACAAGAAAGAAGATTCCACCTAAACATTAGGAAGAACTTCCTGACAGTAAGAGCTGTTCGACAGTGGAATTTGCTGCCAAGGAGTGTGGTGGAGTCTCCTTCTTTGGAGGTCTTTAAGCAGAGGCTTGACAACCATATGTCAGGAGTGCTCTGATGGTGTTTCCTGCTTGGCAGGGGGTTGGACTCGATGGCCCTTGTGGTCTCTTCCAACTCTATGATTCTATGATTCTATGGTTAAAATCACTGACTGTAAAATGGAGATTCTGTTTGACCAGTCAGTTATGTACTTTGTTCTCTCTCTCTCTCTGAAATCACTGGGCTTAACTTTACTGGATGTGTTGTGCTGGAACAGATTCCTTTATGATTGAAAAGCCAAGGAAGACCCCACCTCATGAGGCAATTGCACTGACATGAAGAAAGGTCAATATTTTGATTAAGGGGGTTAGATCTAGAATCAAAGGCAGACACCAAACATGGAACCCAAGGGTGCCATTCTTACACAGCTACTCTTCCCAGCCAGGCTGTTTTTTAACGATTGATTTGCATTTATGAATATTTTATATAGGAGGCTGGGGCGCAGATGTGGAGCCTAAGTGGTATGCAATATTTTATTATTGTTGATTCTTTTTTAAACTGATGCAGTTTGGGGAATTAGTGATGTGTTATCCTTACAGTAACAGGCAAAAGCGATCAATAAATGTGATTTGGCAATATAGGATTCTGTATCTGAAACGAACAGGGAGTTTGAGGCTACATAACAGACTAAGCAGGCAAAAAAAAAAGCCACAAACACAGCATCCGTGAATCTTCTTCTTAGTAACATCCCAATCCTATCCCAACTAGGGGCCTTCCAGACTGCAACTCTGATCAGTCCCTGCTGTGCTTATATAGAGTTGAAATAAATGAATCTAGCAGTGCCTGATCTGGCCTGGGACCAGGATGTTTTGATCTTGTTCAGGTGGTTTTGTTTACTCAAGACAGCTAAGGAGGAGGAATGCACTTAGGAATGAGGACAAAGGAAGCACAAGCTGAGTCATGCTATGACTCATCAGATTTAAAGACTTGATTCTCTTCTATAACTCTTCTTACGATTCAGCTGAGCCATCTAGTTTTACCATTTAGTAGGATAAACTGGTACCAGCAGTTTCCAGGCAGATGATGGACTTCAAGTCATTCACATTGTGCACCAGATAGATTAGGCACTGGATTCCTCCTTTAGAACAAAGTACCTTGACAGATCACTGCCTCCAACTCACCTGATGCTGAACAACAGCTGTGGGGAACCTCTGCTCCAACAGGTCTAATTGGGCCTGCCAGTCTTCTCCATTTGGTCCATGGTGGCAAACAGTGCCCACCTGCCATTTACCTACTGTCATATGGCATCAGATGTGGGACAGTTAAAGGATTATCTAAGCAACCCGGTGCTAATTGGAGATAAGTTCTCTTCCTGCTCTTTATGCTGTGAACTGGCCTGGGATCTACAGATGAGACGTGGTATATAAACTGAATAAATAATAGCAACAATGATAAAGGCAGCCTTCCTCCCCACTCTAGTACTTGGATTGGTAGCAGTAGAAATACTGCCTTTTACTCTTAAAGACTAGGCCAAAGGATCTCTGATCTGAGTACTAAGCTCTATCACTGGAGATAACCCCTCTGCCTGCTCACAGAGGGGTTATCTCCAGTTTTAGTGCTGTAGTGCTTACTGTCAAGATGGGAAGATAAAACCCGTCTAAAGAATCTGCGGAGGGATCTTTCCCTGCCACCGCCACCAGCAATGGAGGGGTAGTTTTGCATATGTGTGTTTGTGTGCCTGCATCATATCTGGTGTGCAAGAGTTTATATGACTCTGTGCATGTGCATGTGCATGTGCGTGTGTGTGTGTGTAAAGGAGAGTGCTGTGTGCCCTGTGCTTATGTGTTCCTGACAATGGGGGGAAATCAAGGTGCATCCATTTGTGGGGGGGGGGGGTTGCTTTGTGGTTTTTGCCCCCGCCTACTTTTGTCATATCCACCAAAGCAATGTGGCCTTCTGTAAGGTTGGGCAAATTCCAATTCACCGCTCATGCTGAAATCGATTCCTCACCCCTGCTGTACAGTTTCTTCATTCAGCCAGCACCTGTACACACGAACTCTAGATGTATTCAAATCATTAAATTGCAATTACTTCACAAGTTACATAACTTCTAAAACAGTGTGCTGTGGGATGAACTGCCTGATAAAGATGGTATCTGCAGGAGGCCCTCCTTTAAAAAAACACGAAATCATAGAATTGTAGAGTTGGAAAGGATCCCGAGGATCATGCAGGAATCTTAACTATTATTAAGTAGCTTATTAACTAGATAATTCTTTGTAAATAACTCTGCAGAGAGCTACAGCGAGTCAGAGTAAACAGTACTGGACTACACTCTGACAAACAGCCTGACTCATAGGAGCCAACTCCTAGGGGCCGAGGTTCCTTCGTCTCCTCCCCTCCTCACTGCCAAAAAAAATCAACATCCCCAAAGTTGAGGGGCATTGCCATTCAAACGGGGGGTGTGCACCGCTTCTTGTGATCGATTATGTGGGGTGTACCAACTTGAATAAAATGGCAGGGGGCAGGTAAGCCACACCCCTTCTCTTGTGGGGCCCAATTAGTGCCATTGCCTTCCATTAAGAGTTTGGGTGTAATCCTTGATGTCTCCCTTTCCATGGAGGCGCAGGTTACAGCTACAGCTAAGGCGACATTTTTCCATCTTCGCTGCATTAAGCAGTTGGTCCCTTACCTTTCCCACCCCGATCTGGCCACAGTGATCCATGCGACAGTCACCTCCAGGCTTGACTACTGTAATTCACTCTACGCGGGGCTGCCCTTGAAACTGTCCCAGAAACTCCAGCAGGTGCAGAATGCTGCAGCGAGGCTCCTCACGGGGTCCCTGCCATGGGAGCATATTCACCCAGTGCTTTACAAGTTGCACTGGCTCCAGATGGAGTATAGGGTCAGGTTCAAGGTGCTGGTTTTGCCCTTTAAAGCCCTTTGTGGCTTAGGGCCCTCGTATTTACGGGACCGCCTCTCCTGGTATGCCCCGCAGAGGACCTTAAGGTCCATGAATAACCATAGTTTAGAGGTCCCAGGCCCTAAGGAAGTCAGACTATCCTCCACCAGGGCCAGGGCCTTTTCAGTAATGGCTCCGACCTGGTGGAATGCTGTGACATGAGACTAGCGCCCTTCAGGATTTAACCTTCTTCCGCCAGGCCTGTAAGACAGAGCTATTCTGCCTGGCCTTTAATTTGAATTCAGCCTGATCTTTTATTTCACTTCTCTTCCCTCCCCCTCCCCTTTTATGAAGATTACTCGCTCTGAGACCCCACAGCTAATTCTCCCCTGGCCTCCTCGCTGGCCCAACTAGGATTAACTCAGCCAGCTAGCCCTGGTGACTATCTTATGTTTATTGGATGGAATTCCCCAAAATGATTTTTGAACTTTGAATTTTATTGTCATTCATGCTTTTATACTGTATTTCACGCTGCTTCTATGTTGTATTACAATTAAGTGTTTTAAATTTGTTGTTAGCCGCCCTGAGCCTGGTTTTCTGAACCTGGAAGGGCGGGGTATAAATATTATTATTATTATTATTATTAACTTGCTATAACTACATAAAAAAATCAGCTGATGATGCTCCCCCAACCGCTGCACTTCCGGGACAGAGAAAGGTGCACCTGTTGGGCTACAGCCTGCAACGCGAAAACCCCAGAGCAGAATCGCTGACAGGTTGCGAGCTACCCTCGTGAAGGGACCGACCCCTTGCCGCCGGCTCATTGGCATCTTTCGCGTTTTCGAAGTGCTTCGGCTTAGCTCGGCAACTTGCAGAGAGTCCCTTCCCCGGGCATGCAACTCGGGAGCAAAGCGAGGGCCGAGGCGCGCATTCGCCGCCGCCGCGTTGCAGGAGGGCAGGGCGGAGGCGGAACGGGAAGATCCCTTGCAGCCCGCTGCTGGCGGCTCTTGCCTTCTACCTCGTGGGAAGCCCGTCCTCTTCCTTCGAGCCAGAGCTCCAGGCGCGGAGACCCCCGCTCGAGGAGAGGGGAGGCCGGGCTGGCGCGCCCCCGTGGCCACGCCAGGATGCAGCTGCGCGGTCACGGCGCGCCGAGCGAACCCGGGAGGGGATGTGGGTGGGGCAGAGACCGGGTTTCTCTGCTCCAGTTCCTGAACGGCGCGAGTAGCCCTTTGCACTGATTCGGGAATTTAGCGACGGCCCCTTGCCTGGCGAAAAGTGGGTTTGTTATGGTCTCTCGCTGGGCGCCTGGAACAGCCTGACGCTGCAAACCGGAGCAGGTCTCCCCGAGCAAGTGTGCCGTTGATCTGGAGAGGGGAGACGCCGGGAAAAGCTGGCCCCAAAAAGTGTCTCCGGCGGCCGTCCTTCGGGAAAGCGTCCTTCGATTTCACGCCGGAGCAGGCGGGAGGGGAAAGCAAGATCTCGGCTACCTTTTTTTACCCCAGGTAGGGGAGCAATTCTTTTGCAGCATGGTCCTTTCTAATTTTTTGCACGACTTCTGTGACCGGGGACTGCAGCGTCTCGTGAAGATGCGCGCAGAGCAGCCCGCCTCGGGTGGTGGAGATCCCAGAGGGGTTGGAGGAAGAAGGGAAGGGTTGTGTGCGCATATATTTCCAAATCACGAGGCAGGAATGGCTTGGGAGGCCGTCAGGATCCGTAGGAAACCACCACCACCGACCTAAGCTAGCCATAGGGATGTATCTCCTTAGGGTCCGCGTTGCTGTGGCGAGAGATTCCCATGGGAATGGAGAGGAGGGGCTTTGCGCTGGGTGCGGGGGTGGTTTGCCTGCCTGCAATGATCTGAGGAGCAGACTGGGGGAATCTCCTTTGCTCGCGGACCCTGCTTAGGCTGGCAAGCAGCGGCGAAGATGGTGTTGTAGTTGTAGGGTAGGAAGCCTGAAGAAAACCCCAACCAAAGAGTAGGGCCTTTGGGCCTTGTTTTCGGTCTGGTGGCGACATCTGTACAGCCACAGTCGGAAACAGGATGGGCACCACAGAAAGGGCATGGAAATAAAAGCAGCTTCAGAAAGGAAAGAGATGCACATGTGTATGGTTTTAAAATAGAATAAAATGTGAGTGGGCCTAGTTGCTCCTTTATTGGAATTGTGGGGTTAGCCTTGTGCTGACTATTGATGAAAGAATGAAAACCTTGCCACTTGCATAAGTTTGGCAGAGTGATCTTAAACTACAATTTCTAAATGGTAATAGATTCTGTGCCAGCTGTCTACATATTTATGAGGCACCTGTGCTGAAATTTGAGGCTTAAAGCTGCAGTCCCACGTACCTGGGAGAACGTCCAATTTAACTCAGTGGGACATACTTCTGAATAAATGGCTTACACCCAAATGTCTGAAAGAATGCCGCCTCTGTGGGTGTCAAGATCAGCAGTGGGGGCGGGTTGGGGGCACTGCCCTCAGGTGTTTGGGGTGTCGGCCCAGGAGAGCATTCTCGGTGGCAACCCCTAAATTATGGAATTTCCTCCCCACATTGATGCGACCAGTGCCTTCATTATGTAGGTTGCAAGAAGATGCACCTCTTACCCTGGCCTTTTGACTCCTGGTATTATGTGTGTGTGTGTGTGTGTGTGTGTGAGAGAGAGAGAGAGAGAGAGAGAGAGATACACTTTAAGACCTACTGCATTCTTTTGACTGTAATTTGTTTTGAACTGTTTTTAATATTTAATTTTAAAATTGCTGCAAACCATCCTGGGATGGATAAGAAATCTAATGTGTAATAAAATAAATAAAGACAACAAGATGTATAGAATTGTACTGTAAGCCTCAGGTACTATTTTGAAGGCATTGACACAGCCCTGGAGTATATTAGTTAGTGATAGAAAGGGCAATACTGAGTGCATTTCTGTCACAAACAGCTAAGTTTCCCCACGTTAGGAGGGGCAAGGCTTCCCATTAACAGACTATGCCTTGTAGGCAGGCCTGATCATCACCATCTCCTTTATCTTCTCTTCTTTTTAAAAAAGAAAGTAAGCACTGACAGAGGCCTAGTTGGGTGTCACCATTTTTGACTGCAGGTGTTGGGCTTGCACAATTGAGTGCTCCTCCCTTCAGAAACAAAAAGCATCTCAGAGGGAAAAGACTCAAATAGAACCCTTCTCCATGACTTCTAGTTTTTTGTATGGATGGATTTTTATTATTATTATTATTACTATTTGTATGGAAGAACAATCCAACCTGTGAGAACCTCACCTGCCCTCTGTGGTGGTACAGCTCAGACACAAGTTTACCATAATGGGAAGAATTTGACAAATCTCTACCTAATCCTGAAGCATAACTATTACTGCACTAGTTGGGCTGCAATACGATCAAGGACCTTTGCTTTTATATGCTGATTTTTTTTAAAAATGCACTGACCCATAGGAGAGGAACTCCCAAATTATGAATTGGGATCTCCTGCCAGCTGTGGAAACTTTTAGGGATGGTAGGCTGTGATCCAGGAATTTTCATTTCAGGGACAGTGGTGAGAAGTTAGTTCAGTACGAAGGTAAAAATTTTCACAGTGGTGACCTATAAAAGGAATTTTCAAAACCCACTTTTGATTTCAGAGCACTTAACACCCTACTGTACTATGCTTAAAATACCTGGAACACATAGGAACCTATCTTATATCGAACCAGGCTATTTGTCTCTCTAGCTCAGTATTGCCTTTTTAATGGATGGTCACAGGTGCTTTATTTGAGATTCCTGCATTGCAAAGGCTGTGTGGATTAGATTCCCCTTGGGAGTCTCATCCAACTCTATGATTCTATAATCATGCGGACACATAATGCATTTTTGAGGGAGTCCTGTGGGCTTCCCTGCCTCTGTTCACTTCTCTCCCTCAAATCACACACACATCTGAGAGACAGAAAAAGAGAAAGCACATGAACACATATTTCACTTTTCCAGGAGATCGGGGTGAAAGTCAGATCTAGCAGAATTAATCTGAGCCTTAAATAGAACATGAGAGATGAAAGAGGAAGTAGGGAAGAGTGCCACTCTTGCAGCTTCCTCCTGCAACTCTATGCACTTTTCAAGGGAGAAGAAGGTATCAACCCTCATCACCTCACAACCAAGAGAGCAGCAAAGGGGAGGGTCCCTCAGAGACTCTGTAGGAGTCAGGAGAAGGTGTCAAGGGTGCATCTGCATGCTCACGAGCACAGTGTTGGTGATCCCTGGCCTGCTCTGACTGGCCGTTCCTCTCCAACAGGCTTAGGCAACCTTCGGCCCTCCAGATGTTTTGGCCTACAACTCCCATGATCCCTAGCTAACAGGACCAGTGTTTAGGGATGGTGGGAATTGTAGTCCAAAACATCTGGAGAGCCAAAGGTTGCCTATGCCTGCTCTACAAGGACCGAGGCAGGAGTCCTTTCCATCTTTTAAACTGGAGAAGCCAAGGATTGAAGTTGGGACTTTCTGCTGATGCTCAGCTATTGATCTACGGCTTTGCCCCTACGATCACCCTGTTGTTCATAACTTCTATATCCTTCTATGACGGCCCTAATCATAAGTGCTTTGTGAGTGAATTCTATGACTGCTGGAACGGGAGTAGCTTCTGCACTGGGCCTGATGAGCTAATCAGAAACACAGAGACCATAAAAACCGCCGAGCTCCTTTATAGTTTGCTTGCATAGGGAGCCGGTACTCTCAGATTGTCAGTATATTTTCTCCTGCTGAAGCTTTTTCTAAACTCTTTGGTGATGTTTGGCCTCTTCCTCACACCCACACCTCTGTAGGAATCCATTGAAGTGAACTACGTGGCACCTGCCTTTTCTTATCACTGCTCTTTATTCTGGGCCTGTATTTATTATCACACCAAGTGCATGAACCTTCCTGGAAGAGGAGGAGGGCGTGTCTTGAATACACATCTCAGTCTACTGCAGTGCCATAACCTGTGGCCGCTGGGAAGCTTGGTTCAAGCCACTGGCTTCTGAGATGCTCCTTGCACAGTGTCAGTCGGCTCGCCGTAGCCACCAGGACTAGAAATTTCCTCCTTGTTTCTAAAATGGAAACTACAATTCTCCACTTGTTCTGGGATACAACATGGGTGTTTAAAGATATGTATGTTTGTAGGAAACCATGGCACACGAGCAGTGAACACAGTTGCTTTCCAGAGTGGTCCTGCTTAAACTCCAGGCCCCTGGGAAATCTGTGAAATGATATATAATGAACTGAATAAAATGTTTAAAATAACTTTAGTAAAAAAAAACAACAACCAGGAGCTTTTCTGTTAGGGATAGTGAATATAGAGATTCCGAAGGACCCTAAAAATTTGTTCATGTATGCCACAACTGCAGCCAGAATGGTGTTTGCCCAGAGGTGGAAAGAAGATGTTATACCAGCTAAGGAAGTATGGCTGATTAAATTGATGGATTGTGCCAAAATGGCAAAACTGACAGGTGTAATAAGAAACCAAGAGGGATTTAAAAAAAAAAAAAAGAGTGAGAAAAATTTGTAGCATATTTGAAAAATTCTGGCATACAAGCAAGTTCATTAGCAGTTAAAATTGTACTAAGATAAATGGAAGAATAACTTTAAAACGTGGAATAAAGTGGAAAATGCAATGTTAATTTAAATTAGAAAAGGAACCACAAAAGGAGGGTGGGGGGAGGGAAGTCAAATATCCAATTGTATTGGAGGTATGCATTTATAGGGTGTGTATTTGTCAACTTGTGAAAAACTGAAAATACAATTTATATAATAAATAAATAAACTCCAGGCCCCTGGGAAGTTCAGGGTGGGAAAATCCTCTCCTGGAAATAGGGTGTAGCGATCCAATTTTGCCTCCCCCGTACTACCTTGAAGGAATCTGTATTTCAGCGACGTGAGATTCTTGCTTGTTTCTGATTTGCAGTGAAAGAGAAGTGGCCGTAAATCACAATAAAAGCGACAAGGGGGATGCAGATGCCTGGGAATGCTTGCGCTGCAGGGTATGACGGGTTATATTGGTGCATTGTTGCCCAGCAGCATCTCTCGATGCCATGGCAACCTTATTGGTGGGCAATATACACTGTTTTTCTGGCCGGATGGTAAACAGATGGGAGGGGGGGAGTTGTTGGAAGAGCTCGCAGAAAGGGTGTGTTGTAACTGGATGTTGAGCAAAGACGTGGTCATCTAAATTCTGGATTAGCAAGCAGTTATCTCTTTACTTTCTTTATTAACGTACAGTGGTACCTCGAGTTGCAAACGCCTCAGGTTACAAACGCTTCAGGTTACAAACTCCACCAACCTGGAAGAGTTACCTCGAGTTGAGAACTTTGCCCCAGGATGAGAACGGAAATCGTGTGCCAGCGGTGCAGAAGCAGCAAGAGGCCTCATTAGTGAAAGGACGCCTCTAGTTAAGAACAGTTGCAGGTGAAGAACGGACCTCCGGAACGAATTAAGTTTGTAACTAGTAACTGTACTTCTAAGGTGTGTGGCAGCAGGTCAGTTCCTGTCCTGCTATATCTATCAAAGGCTTCATTTTTAAAAGCGTTGGTAGGGTTTGTTCCTGTCATGTTCTTAGCACTTTGTAGCGTTCTGCTAAAATGTACCATCGCCACGTGAGTAACAGGTGCACACACATCCTCAAAGCTGTTGTGGTGGCAGTCTATTACTACAAGTTAAGAAATTTAGGCCATGTCACCTTGCAGATGGGGAAGTCAGTTAACAGGAGAGTGCCTCCTTCTGGAAATCCGTTGCCATGTTTGACATACTGCTCCTCTAGGAATATGCTTGTTTGGGAGAGAAGTTGCCCAGTGGTGTAGTGGTCCGGGGTTGCAGGGGACCTGTTCCTATTCGGCAGCAGGGTACCTGTCTCCGGTATCCAAAGCTACAAGGTGCTTCAGTTTCAAGAGAATGGTATGCAGGTTCTGCTGTGCACAATGGAACTTTATGAAAAATGCAGTTTAAGTTCCTCTGAAAGAAGATATTGCAGCACTGCAAATCATTTGCCCATGTATGTGTGCAGAAAACAGTGGATCTGGCTGAAAGGCTAGATCTGTATTGATTGGTGCAATGCACCCCCAATATTTATTATTGTGTAATTATAATTTTATTGTATAATCTTAGAAGTGGCAAGACTGTGAAGGGACATGGCTGTAACTATCATGAAGGGATTTTGCCAGTACACTACTGCTGAATCCAGACTGCTGGTGTTGCAGTGCATGGGAGTGTAATAATATTCAGATGTCTGCCACAGACCTACTGGTCTCCTGTGCTTTTTCATAGCCACAAGAAGTTGATAGATTGGAACTGTCATCTCTTTTATTTAGGTCTTCAGGCCCTGGAGCTGCTTCGAGCTGTTCCTAGCCTGGTCGGAACATATCCTAAAAGCTTGGGAATGAGGCAGACTGTTTTGTGGTGGTGGTGGAGCTAGGATTTGAGCAGGTTTATGGGAGCCACCCTCCTTTTCATAGCAGCAGACTGTTTGGCAGGCAGCAACTGCAGCTCAACAGTAGAATTGTAAAGTTGGAAGGGACCACAAGGGTCATCTAGTCCAACCCCCTGCAATGCAGGAATCTTTTGCCCTACGTGGTGCTCAAACTCACAACTCTCAGACTAAGAGTCTCATGCTGTCCCCACTGAGCTATCCCAGGCCCAGAACACTTGCTTTGAATGCAGGTCACAGGTTCAATCCTTGGCACCTCCAGTAAAAAGGATCAGCTAGGCTGAGGTGGGAGAAACCTTTTCAAGAAACCCTGGAAAGCCACTGCCAGTCTGAGTAGACGGGGCTGAGCTTGCTAGATCAGTGGGCAGGTAGTATAAGCTACCAGCTTAAATTCATACAACAGAGCAGAAAGGAATTGCATTGGAGCTGTGCATTTCTTAATTCACCCATCCTGCCCCTCACCTTTGACAGAGCTAGGACTTCAGCTCCAGCGTTCCTGCTTAGAAGTGGAGATTAGTTCCTTTGCTGCAGAAGAATAAATATCCTCCTCCCTCAGGTTTTCTCTTGGGAGGCTCAATTAGATTTACAGTGTTGTGCAGACTAAAACCGGGCCACAGACCCACATGCCTTTCCTTCAAGCATACAGAATTATGCATTATTCCAGTGATCTTGTTTTTCCTCTTCTCCTTAGCAAGGGGAGGAGGAAGCCAAGTTTGAAAATGGTCTGTCAGTGTTTGTGGTTATTGTAAATTGCTGCGAAATAAGCCTCTTCACGACTATTTTCACTGTGGATTGATGGGACTATGGCATGTTTTAAAATGGGAGCTGTAGTTTTTCACATGGACACAGACACAGTTGTTTCACAACAAATGCATATCTTGATCCTTTAATCCTGTTTCAATCAAACTGTAAAAAGCGGAGGAAATGCTTGTTTTGGCAGGAGGATATTTCTGTCCATAATAACTGGCTTTGTTGTTACCACACTAAGAGACATCAGTTGCCCAAGACTATGTGATTGGATGGGAGCCAGGAGCCAAACATTCCTCTAGGCTTTAGGGCAAGGGTTGTGACTCGGTAGTAAAGCCACATGCTTTATATGCAAAAGGTCCCGGGTTTAGTCCTTGGCATCTCCTGGAAGGGCTGGGGGAGACTCCTGAATCCCGAAGAGCCACTGTTGGTCCACATATACAGTGTTAAATTAGATAGATTAAAGGACTGAGTGGCTCAGCTTCTTCCTGTATCTTCCTGTGTTCCCAGGAGCCAAGTGTACCTGCTGTGGCTGGATCAGACCAAACAGCTGCCAGCTGAAGCATACAAACTGGGCATGTGGATGTTGATGTTGTCCTTTTGTTTGTTGTCAGAATCTGGTCTTCAGAAGCGTGCAGTGTGATTGCAAACCCAAGCTTTTTCAGGGGAGCTGAGCATGATTCTCGGCCACTTGAGAAAAGCTGTGCATTTGTAGATCAGGGGGCTAACTGAGCCGGCACTGAGAACCCGAGCTCTGATAGATTGCCTGTCCCTTGGAAAGGAAGTTTGCTTACCACTTAGGGGAAGTATGTAAACCTTGCTGTTCCATTTGGCAGGAAAGCGGGCCGGGATTTATGGGTTTGCACAGCCGTCACTGGAGCAGAGGGATCTTACACAGTCGAGCATTTAATGGAGTGATAAGGACTGCCTGTCTTCTCTGCGCTTGCTCTTGTTGAGGTGTCTGGAAAAGGTTGGAACAGAGCGTGCTGTTTGCATAACGCACGTCGGCAGCCCTCTCTGGGCTCATTTGTGAGCAGAGCCTCCCCTCTGCCCTTCCTGGTTTTTTGTTTTTTAAATCCTTTTTTTTTTGCTTTTCCTGGAAGCTGTGTGAGATGGAACCATCTATGCAAAACAAGGGATTGGGACTCAGCTGAGTTGCCTCTTGTCAGTCTCCAAAAAAGGAGAGTTGCCAGATGCCTGCTCAAAATATAGCTTGCTTTTATGGGCAAGAAGAATCCCAGAGCGCCTGGAAGCATTTCAAGGCTCTGCAGGGAAGGTGGAGCTACTAGGGGGAAAACGGTGCAGAAAAAGGCATGTTTCAATTAAATGCCCTCTTGGCAATCAGGGTGCTCTGTTTTATTTTTAAAAGGCATTTGCTTAAATAGGCACGGGGTGGAGAACCTCAAATGCAGACCCCAGACCTGGGGGAGGACTGACCTGCTTCTATCCACCTGGCTTGGGGCGGGGCCTGACAGGCTCCATAAAGGACGGCTGCCGCTGTTGCTGGGCAGAGAGGGCTCCGTTTTTGTTTTTTAAATTGCTTTTATTTTTTATCTATGTCATTTTAAATTGTGATTGATATTAATGCGGTATTCCTAGTTTTAGATTTTATGATTTATGTGGAAATCGTTTTCCATTTGGTTGTGTACTTTTTGATGTGTTTTATTTATTGCTTATGACTTTTGTTATGTTGGTACAGTGGCACCTTGGGTTAAGAACTTAATTCGTTCCGGAGGTCCATTCTTAACCTGAAACTGTTCTTAATCTGAAGCAACACTTTAGCTAATGGGGCCTCCTGCTGCCGCTGCGCTGCCAGAGCACGATTTCTGTTCTTATCCTGAAGCAAAGTTCTTAACCCGAGGTAATATTTCTGGGTTAGCGGAGTATGTAACTTGAAGCATATGTATCCTGAAGCGTATGTAACCTGAGTTACCACTGTAATTATGTAAATATTGTTTGTTTCTTTTAAAAGTATTTTTATTGGAATTTTATTTACAACATAACATAACCCCCCCACCCCTCCCAATACAGAAATCCACCCTCATTAAACATGAACATAACATAGTGAACATAACATTATTCTTATTCTTATTCTTTATTTATTTATACCCCGCCCATCTGAGTGAGTTTCCCCAGCCACTCTGGAGAAACAATACAACAATACAAACAACCAAATAAAAGACTTCCTTTATCCTGTAAATATGTAAATATTGTTATGTTGTAAGCTGCCTTGAGCATTGTTTTAACTATGGAAAGGCGGCATCCAAATAAAATGATGGTGATGATGGTGATGACTTCTCAGTCTGGCC